CAGTCACAAAAACAAAGCTATGCAGCTTTGTTCTGTACATCTTACCCAGAACTAACTTTCATAAAATTAAATATATCTACCTTAAAACAACCGAACATAGAACTGCAGATAAGCTTGTAAATTACCAAGGAAAACACTTGTAGCTTTGTGTTTAATTTAGAAAAAAAACTTTGAGGAAATGTTGGTCCATTGCAGCAAAATATCTTGTGTAGAAACATGAAACTGAACATCACAGAGAATCTCAGCAATAAACTGTAAGGTGCTTCGCTTTAAAGTTTGCATTTCATGCTTCAGAAGTGTATTTTATGTGTTGTTCTAAGTCAGTTGTAAGTCATCTGAATCATGATAAAAGGAACAATTACTAAGCAATGTAGGAAGTCAACAAATGAAGTTATCTGTACAGTGGTACCTCGCAAGACAATTACCACGCAAAACGTTTTTTTGCTAGAATGACTTTTTGCGATCCCTATAGTGATTCGCAAAACAGAGTTTCCTATGGGGGATTTCGCTGGACGATGATTTGGTCCGTGCTTCGCGGACCGGTTTTTTGCAAAACGACGTTTTTTACAGCTGATCGGCGGCTCTGCAAAATGGCTTCCCTATGGGGGATTTTCGCTGGACGATGACTATTTTCCCCATTGGAACACACTAAGCGGGTTTCAATGCATTCCAATGGGGAACGCTTTTTGCTAGACGATGTTTTCACAAGATAGCGATTTCAATGGAACGGATTAACATCGTCTAGTGAGGCACCACTGTATTTCTGGATTCCTTGATGAGGTAAACCTGTATGAATTGAGTGGAGGATTACTCAGGGGAAATTCAGATAGCTGAATAACTAATTTCTAACATATTTTTGGGAACAAATGAGATTCCATCCCCTAACATGAAACACAACTGAAATCAAAATTTTGCCAGAAAGAATCTTGAATCTGTATAACTCATCAGCAGCTATGTTCCTGTCAAAAACTCTCAAAGTAGCCTTGCCAGGAAAAAAAAATCTGTTAATACAAAATGTAATCCAATCAAAATCTTCAGCTTTTCAAGTGCTTCAATTTTCTACAGTACTTCTGCTGTAAAACAGAAAAAAAGTTTCAAGATCTTTAAAGTAGACAAAACCATCATTTAATTTTAACTTAATGCCATGTTCCTTGTAAACATACAGCTCTCCAAACCATAGTGGGAAAATACATTGCCCTCCCAAAACTCCAGCTTGCAGAACTGTGAAAAGGCATTGCAGATTTTGAAAAAGTGGATCTGTATGGAAGACTAGTAATAGGTGACTGCCTCCTTACTTCCTTACTGGCTCTCTTGCATTGCAACAGCTTTCTGTCATATTCTAGCAAGAAGTAGGTTTGATGCATTCACAACAGTCAAGGGTATAATAAAAAAGGAGACTTTCAGCGTCTAATTTCTATGCATAGGTAGTTAATGTAGCCAGCAAAAACAAAACTATTAGCATCCACATGTTTTCATGAATGTTGTACTTTTTAAGGTACTTTAGTATACTTCTGCAAGTTCAGTAGAATAGTGTAAAAAAAAGTCCCCAAAGGATGATAGGTCCCAAGTATTTTTGTCTCAATTAAGGCAGTAATTACAAGTTAAGCCACAATCTTATCAGTATTTACCTAGAAGTAGCACTGAATTCAGTAAAGCTTACTTCTGAGCAGACTTGAAAAAGACTGCACAATCAATCAAATGAATATAGAAAAGAACCTTTACTTTTTTGAACATCTACATACTGACTGGTCTGGAGAAATATTTCAAATGTATAAGAAGGAACATTTAATATTTAGAAATCAGCCCTACAAACACAGGATAAAAAGTAACATGCCATGGCACCAGAACAAACCTTTTAGATTTCTGGTTAACTAAATGTCCCAAATATTACAGCTCTAATTCTTACAGGTAGTCTCTGTTAAGGGAAGAAAAACCAAAAGCTTATTTGTCTACGTTATCAACTAACGTTTTTCCCATCAAAAAAGCCATCCAAGCAGAACAATATTGGCATCTTCAAGGCCAGCCAAATAAATAAACACTGCAAGATAGAATACAGATGACCAAGACTCAGGAGTAATCTCACTTTTCCTCCATAAGCTGTCCAAATGCTTGAAGGAAGGGAAACATTAAAGGGTCAATACATTGGGGAGTATGGTGGTATTTAGTCAAGCAAAAGCAAGAACTGACAAAGGCCAAGAATAAAGAAATCCATCCCTGAGACAGTATTTGTGTCAGTTTCCTGTATGGTGTTCCCATTACAGGAGCAGAGTGAAACGATTATAAGTTCTAGAAACCACAGGCTGAGACTCTGTCTACTATTTCCCTTTGGGCGGCGAGAAGGGGAAATCAAGCAGTATATCTGAAGTAATGAAAAAAGCCACTGAAAATCACAAAAACCTTCTGGAACTCTGGAATGTGCTATTTGCCTGTGATGTCCAGGCACCCAGTTTTCAAATTCTGACTGCCCTTGACTTTAATGACAGCAGCCTAATGAAACCAATAGCAGGAGACCTAGCCAAATGACAAATCCTCAAGCTAAAGCAGATAATAGGTACAATGCAGACACAATGCCTTCCAAAGTTTTATCTTTAAATCAAGCAGAGCCTTTCCTCTGCGAGGTACCCTATTTCTCTGCTGTCTACAGCTAGCAATTGAATGCAGAAATGTCTAGTTAATCCTTAGAGCATCAACTGTACCAAACTCCAAAAGAGCTAGCAGAGGCCACAGAAATATTTCTTTGCTTCCCCAGGGCATTTTCTGAACTGTTTAGTTGATGCCTCTCTACCAGAAGACATAGGTAGTTCAGGCAGAGATCCCTTATGGGGACAACTCCAAGGGACCATCAACACCTCTCATTACTGCTTTCACACCTCTAGATTTCAGTCACAGGGAGACAGAGCCAGCCTGTGTGGCATTGGACAAGCTGCACAGTCCCCAAGATGCCCCCAGAAGAAGGGAATGGGAAATAACGTCTGAGTGTCCTCTACCTGGAAAAGGGTTGTTATAACTCAGAACTGACTTGACTGCACTTAATTATTATTTAAGCAGACTGGCTAGTTCAGAGGTTTAGGTGTCTGGCTGTAGAGTCCTGACACTGTCCCTCCAGGGAGTAGATTCCCCACTGTGCCTCCAGCCTATGTAGCCTTGGGCAAACTGCATAATCCCAAGATGCCCCCAGAACCACATCTGAGTATTCTCTACCTGGAAGTAGTCATTATAACTCAGAATTGACATGATTATATACCTAAGGTACTGTAATCCAGTTTACTAAGAACAGCAGAGCTCTTGTTCCTCTTCAGGTTCCTCTCAATCCCCAAAACCCACATTAGAGGCTCCATCACTGCAAGGGCAACCAAGGGCTTTAAGGATCACCATCACTGGAGAAAGCAAAGCACACCCATGCACAGAGGCTCTCACCCCATGTAAAGGCACAAATAAAGGCAACAGAACGAGCCCTCCTACCTCAAGCACACTGAACCCTGAGAAGAAACCCCATTAAATTCAACGGGGCTTCCATACCCGTTTTTTTGGGGGGGGGAGGCTGCTGAAGAGAATCAGAGGAGGAGGCATTCGTGCTCTGGGGCCCCAGTTTCTCAGGAAAGGAGGCGGAGATGGAGGGAGTCCTCGTTCCCGTCCCAAACTTTCCCCTCAAACTTAGGGCAAGAAGGAGCTCGCCTCTCTGTGTCGGTGGGTGGGTGCGTGGGGGGACCCGTCGGAGGCCCGAGGCGGGGGGGGGGG